GTTGGAAAAAAGAAGGGAGAAAAAAAGAAAGTCAAGTTGTAGGTTCCTTATCTGGTGGATTATTAGGGTATCATGTGGTGCCTTTGCAGAATTAAATTACAGCTGAGTTCTTTGTTGATTGAGAAAGGAGCTTAGCCACGTGCAGGGTGTTCAAATCGGTGCTATCTCCCTCTCAGGTCCTGTGCCCGTGGTGCCTTGGCTCTGCTGTTTGTGCTCGGTGCCACCTGGACGTTTGGAGTCTTGCACATTCTCAATGAGACAACCCTCACTGCCTATTTGTTCACCATCACCAACGCCTTCCAAGGGATGTTCATTTTCATCTTCCTCTGTGTGCTGTCCAGAAAGGTAACATCAGCTTTTTGGGATTTTTTTGTTTTTGCCTTTTTCCTTTTTTGAATCAAATAGAACAAATAGACCCCAACAAAACACCTTTTATATAGTCAATTGAGAATATTAAGGTGAAGATGAAAAAAGAAACCTGTGTGTGAGCAAATGTGCGTTTTTTGTTAGGATTTAAGCATCCGAACATGCTCAGTTTGTTTGGGTTTGCCATGTTTTCTCTCTCCCTAGGTGGTCAGATTGAGGCATAAATCTTTCCCCATCAAATATTTAATGAACTGACTGAAACTTTTCCTGTTACAAAATATCCAAGTGAAGGTTTATAAATGTATGAAAACCCTGTAAATATGTGCACAACACTGGCACAGCTCACCACTGTATGGATTAAACATACGTTGTATTATATCTAAAGCATATTTCTGTTGTGTGTTTGTCTTTTCAGATTCAAGACGAATACTACAGGCTTTTCAAAAACGTCCCCTGTTGTTTTGAATGCCTAAGATGAATTAATGCAGCCAAAGCCAGACCATCTGCACTTGTATAATAATAGTCTATAGTACAGCTTTTTAATATCCTGTGACTCGTGCTTCCACTTTTGGGAAAAATGGTGTGGGAGGATTTTAGTACAGATGTCTAATAAATTAGAACATGTAGCAGTGGTAGTTTCAAAATGTCTTGTTTGCTTTTTAACAGACTGGAATCCTAATTATGCAGCACACTTTTTGTTTGTTTGTTTTGTTCCATAAAGTACATAAAAAGCCAAACAATTGCATTGCCTTTTACACAAAAGCAATTCTTGTGAGAGTAACAATAGAATAAAAATAGTTTGCATATGTTCAGTTTAATTGAGTACCTTTACCTTTAGTGCCTTTATAAGCATTACACTCCAAATAATCAATGCCGTCCGTCTTTGTTCTCATCTTTTGTTTGAAATTGATTGTAAATTATTAAAATAAATGTGTCAAAGCAAAACTTCTCTGTTGCCCATTTCTTTTAAACCGAAATGCAAAACAATCGTTGGGCTTGGTTAATGCATCCATCAGCCTTCTTTGCTAAATAAACACACTGCTAAGTGGGCAGGAAGTCCAACATCAATGGCTGTGTGTCAGTAACAATTGGATAGGCCAATGGCGCCATCTAGTGGAGATTATCAGGCGCACTCGTTCTTCCATAAACTCAGAGTATTTTTGCATTATTTATCTGCATGTTAAGAAAAAAATGAATTAATATGTGTTATCTCCTCAGCACATAGCATTCCTTAACTATCTGTCTCCTAGGCTGTGGGATCTTTTAATGAGGTTAAGAAACGTCAGCCTGGGGTCTAGCAATTAAACACATTTACCAAAAATTTCATTATTGTCTTCATGCTAGTACATTTGCATATATCATGACTCTACTAATAAACTGAACCTCAAACTTTTGAGTGAAACAAACGAAAGTGCTCGATTTTATAGAGCCAGGAAACGCTCTCATGCTGCTCGTTCATTTCAGAAGTGGGGAAAGAACACTGTATATCGCGTTAATTATTAATGTATAGGACACATTTATTGATTGGAGGGTGCTAGCAAGATATATCCTACAATACCTATATTACTGAACTAACAAGAAAGCAGTGTGTGTCAACTACAGCCTCCCAACAGTCCTCAGACTATCTGAGAAACTGTATGTCATTATTAAAAAGAGCATGTGGAGTTCCTTAATTAAAGGAAGTATAGTAGGGCAGGTTTTTTCATCTTTATTTATTTATTTAATTAAATAATAAATAACTATCTAAATGGTAAAGGTGCTCTCACTGCCCTGGGAAACGTATAAGTACACATCAGGTTTGTGATTCTTTGTTTCACACATGGTTCAACAGAATTTCGTTTCCGACATGCAAACATCATTCCCATTAATATAGCACTGCACCCGTGAATGAAAAGGAGGAAGAATAAATTCTTATTGACACCTGCCCCCTATCTGAATACCAAATAATCTTACAAGCGGGCACCTACAACCCAAAGAGCACTCTAACATTTATCGACACTTAACAATGCAAAACAAAACAACAAAAGAGTAAAATCAACAGTACACAAAACCACAAGATGGCAAAGAAGAATTGTTCCTTCCACAATTAGCCCAAATTACTGTCGTGTTCTTCATATTGAAATATTGTTTTAAGCATAAAACACATTTTAAAACGGTGCATATTTGTACAACTCTTGACATTATCATGGAGAGAGCTCCATATTCTTATGCCTACAACTGTGGGACACATTTGCCAATCTGATGCTTACAATAATAATAATCCTGAACACAATACAAATAAACTTTGTAACTTAAAAGGTAATTTATTATTATTTTTCGCCTTGAACATGATTAATAATGTCTGTAAGGTCACTAAATCTTATAACTTCAACAATTTCGATTTTATAAACAGATTATTTGTATATTTAACATTATGAATCATTCGTAACATGCTGTAGAAAATGGGAGCAAGCAAATCTTATATCTGTTAGTGTTCCTCACGTTAGCTCTGCAGATCTGTTAAAGCTTATGGGAATAAGGAAACACAGCAAAGAGACCTGAGAAGTCACTCAAACGCTGCACTGTAGCTGTAGTGTTGTAGTGTTGTAGTGTTGTGGTGTTGTGGCCTGTGTCGAAACCCCTGAAGGTTTAAAGCTAATAAAGTTTGGAGCCAGACGTCTGTGACTGACAGATAGATACTAATATATCAGTCTGCTAGGCGTGTCTGTGTTTGTGCTCTTTTGATCATTTTAATAGAGAAAATAATATAAAAATTACAGCTTTTTATTTGTTTAATTGTAGCATATACAAACGTCTTTGGTCCAGTATTTATTTCTGTTTTATTTGCAGGTATATGTGCATCTGTCCAACTTGCTAGACTCTTGACAAGCCTGCCAGTTGTAGCTGATAACAGAGGACGTGGCTGTCTTTCTAAATATATTTACTCATCTGGCTCAAAAAAAAAATCCCCAGGGTGATGTCACGGTGGCCATATCCCGTTTATGAAGTTTGTGACCTTAACTAGAACGTTCATTATTTTTCTTATTTTTAAAGCACCTATTTAGTCTTAAACGCTGAAACAGTAGGATGTTTTAAATCTGTCAGAAGACATATGGAATATAATTTTTTCTGTGATTTTGATACAATGTTGCCATTTTTTATTTCATTTGAATCCATGATTGTAATTGCAATTGAATTTAAAACCATGACAGGCTACCACTCAAGTGTGTTAACAAAAATGATTTAAAACAAGTTTGCAAGCTTCAAGACAAAAATATGATATCCCATATCACCCTAGAGGTGAAATAAAGACTGGGTGTGATTGCACAAGACAGACGTGCATTGTGAAATGTGAGCACGACCCTCACATCTCAGACAAACGCATCAGCTGATTGCTGCTCTATGTCATCAGCCTCAAACTTCACATGCGAACAGGGATGTTTGTTAACCCGTTTAGGCCAAGGCAGAATCTTTAAATCTGTAATGAAGAGCGGCGTGTGTGTGTGTGTGTGTGTGTGTGTGTGTATTATGAACATATTTGAAAACCAAGCGTTTCACTGATGTCTAAGAAGTAAAAGCACAAACCCGGGTAGCAAACAGCGTTCTCCCTTTACTTGAGACACGAATCTCACTGCAGCGGAGCTTTGAAAAATGTGTTTATTTCTTCTTCTGAATGATGAAACATTTACATTTTCACAATGTTTATCTGTGATATACAACGTACAAATAGGCTTTAAATATATAAATTATTATTTTTTTATTTTTTTGCCTGTCCCATTTGGTTCTTTAGCCATCAGAATTGTTGTCTGAAGACCAACAAGGAGACCCAATGGATTTATTTTGCCAAATGGATCATCATGGCATTGCCGTATTGGTCCATTTGATCGACCTTTGTTTTTATTATTTATTTTATTTTATTTTCAGTTGTTACAGACGGGACAGACATGAGTGAGGGATAGGAAAGGGAGAAAGAACGATGAAGGAAAAGAAAAACAGAAGGGGAGAGGGACAGTGAGAAAGGGGGGAAAAATATCTCCTGGATCACCTGTTGAGAGAAAAAGAATAGAAAACAAGCAAAAAAACCAAACAACAACAAAAACAACACCATCGCATTAATCTAGCTAAGTGTAAACAGCAGTAAATACTAAATATTAAATGTTGTTGTGCAGCACGCAGGACTGACAGCGCACAATGTGCTTTGAAGTAGCAGCCAAGAAAGGTGTAGTTTAAGTCTACAAACAGTGAACAACAGTTTTTAAGCCAACACATTCACAACTGTTGTAAAATATTCAAAAGGATAACATTTATTTATATATAATGCTTTTCTAAAGACACACCAACGGACTGATTTTGGGCACTGGAGTTTCTCGTAAAAAGACACTTTGACATGCAGACCAGAGAAGCCGGGGATCAAACCAGTGACCTTCCCATTAACGGACGACCTGCTCTGCCCCTTAAATTATCTTTGACATATCATTTGTGTCGCTCTGACAGCGCCACGGGTCAGCACGGCCTCACTTCAGAGAGTATGTGTTTATTTTATTATGTTCTTTGGCCTTATCACACGTCTGATGTGCTCTGAAGGATCAATGAGTAATGACAGCTCATGCATATAAAAGCACAGCTCTGAAACCTGATCTCCACTCCTCTCTCACCATGCGGGGTCTTGTCTTCTTCTTCTGTTGCCTTGTGGCTCTGGCCAGTAAGTATCATTCACTCAGTTCTACTTGTAGGAGGATAGCACCCCAAAACTTAATAATCTGCTAACTTCTCTTGAGAAGTTTGGGTAAGAACGTCCAAAAGGTCCCTTGTGAGTGTCCTTTATAGAAAAGTTGTACTGTTATTCTCAGGATTCAGGTTTATTCAAGCAAATACTTAATACCTGGATAAGATTAGAACAGAATAGAATACCAATTGATTTAGTTGTCTCTGCTAACGATACTGGACTATTCTTCTGGAGTTTTCAGATTAAGTGTTTATTAGATGCCGTGTGTGTCTTTTAACATCTTAGAAAAACACTGTTGTTACTCTAACCAGGTGCCTGATTGTAGCATTGTGTTTTGTAGCATTGATGTAGACTCATAGTGTACCTTACAGTGTGTTATAATGCTAACACTATGTTTGACTTTCTTGCTTTTAGCTTGCCAAGCTGCTCGTTATGGTGAGTCTTTTTCCTTAATCTTGATCATAAATCCATCATATAATAATAATATTCTCTTCCAAATGCTTTAAGTTAGATGGTATTTAACTTTAATAAAAAACACCTTTCAGATCTCACCCTGAATTATAGGAAAACCTACGAGTACAAATATGAAGGACAAGTGAAATTTGGATCTGGCAAACCCAACCGAGCCGAGTCTGGCGCGAGGATAAAGTGCAACATCAAGATCTTTGGTGAATCTCCACAAGTATTCATTCTTCAGGTGAGAGTCCCAGCAGACAGTGATATAAATCCACACACTGGTTACTTAAAGTTAGAAATGATGCGCATTTCTTCTTTAGTAGGCTTGATTACT